TCCGCGCGATCCAGCACATGACGATCGTCGAGTACTTCACCAACAATAACGACGCGATCAACAACCTCCCGCCCAAGGTCACGACGTCCATATACGACGACGTGCCCGCGCTGGCGACGACGCCGGTGGTGACCGTGGCCGAAGCTGCCAATGTGACGCTCGCACCGACTACGGCGCCGACGCCGACGACCGCCGCAACAACGACAACCAAGGCAACGGTGACGACGGCGCCGACGTCGTCGAGCGCTCTACTCACGAGTACCATAACGGGTCTTGTCTTGCTGTTGCGCTTGGTGCACTAGAAGGTCTGTCATCACGTTCCGAAGGCAGCATCGACGATTTCAACCATCAAGTCTTGTCGTGCATCGACGCGCAGCGACAACGCTAGCTAGGAGGGACAGCCATCACTGGTGTTGATGGTGACGAGCTGCTTAAAGCTCAATGAAATGTATTGAGAGTATTATCGTCCAACGCAAGACTGGTGAACGCAAATCAAAGCCAGTTGATTCGATTGACAATCTGTCCAGCGACAGAAAGCTGTGTATAGTACCAAGTACGACCGCAGTCGTCTTAAGTCTTCTCGGTCGCCATCACTCTCGCAGTGGCAGGGCAAACTCAAAAGGACGGTGGATCAAAACGGTTTCTTCGCTCGTCCGTATGCGACGATCACTCGGAGCCTCAAGCGTGTGAACACACCACGTCTTGACGTCAAAGACGAGCCACTGATCTCGATACCGGACGCTCAGCAGGCCATTCAAGACCGCCGAAGCGCGGTCCAGAAAATACGTGCCATCCTCGTCGATCCAGCCGTTGTGCGTAAAGAGGTACTTGGCCCCGCCGCAGAGCAGCATCGACGAGCTCACATACGGCAACGGACGCTTCCAGAGACAGCGCACCAGACCAAAGCAGACACCGTTGCAGACTAGCACGGTCCCCACCAGCGTCAGAAGTCGCTCCAACGACCCAATCACAACACTTCCAGCGACGCACACGACTTGGTAGTCGAGCGTAGCCATCGCACAGGTCGGTGACACAATGATCGTGGCCTGGACCGGCGCCAGAGTTGCCAGAAGCGCCGAGATGAGCCACATGACCAGACTGTTGATCGTCGCGTAGGCGATCGTGTGGTCTTGCGTCCAGACGAGCGAAATGTCGGTGACGATACCGACGAGCCACGTGACTTCATTCGCCGCGAGACACGTCGTCCAGAGCGGGATAGGCGTCGTGACAAAGTAGCTCAAGACACCGTCGGATTGCAACTCAACAGAAGCGGTCGAGAGAAGACAGAGAGCTGTGATGCTCCGTACCACGACCAATGGTCGACCGACCCAGACAATGCCGCCGACGCGACTCATTTCAAACATGTTGAGACCCTCGACGTGGCCCCGAGCCAGAAGAATGTACACAAACGTCACCGCTGCGAGCATGATCATGGCGTAGGTGACGTATCGGACGGCTTGGAGTGCGTAGAGAGCAAAGACAGTCGGTAGCTGCGCCAAGTCGACGGGTTGCGATAGCAGAGGCAGAGTGTCGCCCATGAGGGTTAGGGTATGGAGGTCGCCTTGGAACGAGATGACTTCTCGGTTGCCAATGGCCCAGTCGTAGAAGAAGAGCCACGCAAAATAGTCAAAACTTGGGTCCAGAGGGTCGAGAAGAGGCGTGTGGAAGAGCTCAATCGGTGCAGTCTCATTGACCATACCAAACTGAACCCACTCAATGTTGAGAGCGTGGATTGCAGCGTAGAGCGACGAACGTGTATCTGGCAGAGGTGGAAGTAACGCGATAAAAGCTATGGTGGCCTCCACTCGACGTATGCACGAAGCGCGAAGGTGGTACGACTCGAGGGCACAGATCGCTGACGCGTCGGTCGATGCCGTCAGAGTGGCCATGTGAGCAGCAAAGATCGCATGGCTACGCGACGGCACGAGGCCGACAGCAGGACGGGAGTCCGTGCAGGTGGCCTCGTAGTTGTCGGCGCCCGAGAGCCATTCGAGGCGATCCATAGAGATGGCTGGCTGATCCGGACACAAAATGGAGCCGCTGACCGTCCAAAGCACCCCTTTCCACAGCCGCGGCGCTGGCGCAGTGCCGGGCGTACTTGAGATCGCCATGTACGCATCGGAATGATGTTGGCGAGCGGCAGCAGCTGTGTGGAGAATGGCTTGTACAAAGTAGCGAAGCTCCGACGGTACATTGACATACACCATGTCGATGGATCCAAATGGCCCGAGGTACGACGACACGAGAACGTAGTTGGCACTCCACGGCGGTTCTGGAAGGTAAACACCAGTATCTTCAATCATAATATCTTGGAGCGACGCATTCGAAAAGGCAAATTGACTGCTGGATCGAAGGAGACTTTTCCGACGCATGCTCGTGTGGTTGCTCCGGACGTAGCTCAGGTCGTTGGCGAGAGACCAATACATGCTGTACGACGTCGCACTGGGGAAGCTAGCGTAGGTCGCCGTCGACTGCAGCGTGAAGGGATACGAGGCGCCGTAGGCGTTGACAATGGTGTACGACATCGTCAAGCCAATCGACTTGAGTTTTGCCACTGCAGTGAATAGGACGTGACGCCTTTCCGAGTCCAAACCGCCGCTTCGTCGTCGATCGAGAGGTACGGCGGCGTAAACGTCGCTAAAAGAGCTTGGCCGGCCGTCGACTGGCGCAGCTCGGACCCAAACCCCATCTCAAATTCTTCGCCCCAATACAATGTCAGGTTCACGTTCCGAAGCAGCGACGCCAGAAAGACGGCGCCGTTATGGACCATCGCCTTGCATCGCTCTTGACGCTTGACAGAGTTGGCCATTTCCCACTTTTGATCAAAATCGAGGTAGCAGTACTGCGTAAAGATCGACGGCGTGTCTCCCGACGGCATGCTGCGTAGGCCCGTGATCGCGTCACCAACCGCGGTTAGGGTTGTGTACTGAATCCGTGCGCCTTGCTGGATCGGAAAGATGATAGTGGCTTGCGTCGCATCCAACGACCCGAGCGCATTGACATGGTACCCGTCCGTAAGCATCACGGCGCTGTCGGCGAGATACGAGCGTTCGTTGAAATAGTTGGCGAGAACGAGATGCGCCCCCGTCATGTTGAAGCTGGGCCAAATCAGGTCGTTTATCAAATGGGGCTGGACGAGGCCGAGGTACGAGATGCTGCTGTAGATCGCCGTGGCCACGTATACCGTACCAAACGCCATCCACACTCGGGACCGCCGACCGTGGATGCTCGTTGGTCGCGGCGCTGCCTGCGTTCGCTTCGCGAGTGCAATCGTCGGCGCTGTGTCGAGCACGCGCCAGAGCTTTATGTCCAGAAGCCCTCGGTGCCAGAGTGCAACGAGACCCGACGAGAGTCGGGCAATCGGATCCAGTGGTGGACCTTGCAGTAAGAACGCTTGGCCAACGATCGAGAGCCGTAGGTCGTGGCGGCACGCCGATACTTTATGGGACCTCTGAGCCACGTGCAGAAGGAGCCACAGCGTAGGCACGAGCGCGCATTCAAGAGCACAAAAGAGGATGAACCGATGCTTGCTGCCAAGGGCCACGACAACGCTATCGCAGACAAAGTCGTAGTACACATTGTTGGTCACACACGATCGCGTGACGGTGGCAGTCACTGATATGGGCGACGCAAGGTCCGTCAGCACCATACACAGCCAACCAAGACCCGTTGTCAAGGCTCCGACGAAGCGGGCGTTGTGCGTCTTGAGAGGCAGCAGTAGTTCGTGGACGATGTAGCCGACCCACGTCGCTTCCCAGGCAAAGAGGACTGTCTCGACAAGTGGTCGCGGTGGCAGCGTCAGTTGCGTGTGCAAATTGAACCGGCGCACCAACGCCGTGTCGCCCGAGCTTAATAAGACGATAGCGCTCAGGCCTCGTAGCAAACGCAGCGGCCGCCCAATCCACGTCGAGCCAGCGACACGCGTGAACGCCAAAACGTTGACGACCGAGATGGCGCTCGAGGAGCGTGCCGACGACAGAAGCGTGATCGCAGTCACAGACGCCAGCACGAGGTTGGCGTAGACCAAAATGTAGTAGACACCGATGGACGATCGACCGAGCACCGCGTTGCTCGGCGTACTTGACGTCGAGACATAAATGTCCAACACAAGGACAAGTGTTCCATTGTCACCCTCGAACGAGACGACTTCGCGCTCGCCTCGCACCCATTCAAAGAGGATGATCCAGCTAAAGTACGCAAACGACGGCTCCAAGAGCGGCTGGTGTAGTAATGACCAGCTGGAGGGACTTGGCTTGGTCGCAAACTGCATCAAACTCACGTTGAGCGATACGATGGTGGTCGTTGCTTCCGAGACAAGACGGTGGTCGACACCCACAAGCGGCGCAATTACCGCCGCTTGGGCAAGGGACTCGTTGCACCACGTGGACGTTTCTTGCGCGCAGATACTCGCCACCGAATCGTTGACGAGGGCGAGCGCCATGACCATGGACTCTGGGTCGATAAAGAGGTAGGACCCTGTCGTCTCGGAACAGTCGTCCGTGCTTAGAAACGACGTCAGAACGTATGATTTCCGAGCCGTGCCATTGAGGCAAAACGGGTTGCCGCCAGCGAACCGAGTGCCACTGCGTTCCCACATGAGAGGTGTCGGCGCAATAAACAGAGAGCCAATGTCGGCGTACGCTTCAGCGGAGGTTGCGTTGAGCGAGCTGTGTAGTGCTGCCGAGAGAGCCGATGTGAGTGCAATCAGCGCAATGGGCGGCGGCACGACATAGAGATCGATCGATAGGAACGGCCCCAGTACGTCGCGCAGAAGCACCGATTGGTTCACAAACGGTTGTGCGTACAAGAAATCCTCGAACGTCGTCGAGTGTGCGCTAAGAACGTAGTTGGGCGTCCCTCGAACGAGGCTCTGGTTGCGCATGCCGACAAGGAACAGGTCGTAGCCAAACGCCTGGCTGTAGAGATTGGCCGTCGCAGGCCCTTGGCGGCTCGCAATGCTCTTAAGCGCCAACGACGTTTGCATCCCAAGGGCATTGACGAGCGTCGCCGTCTCCACTAGACCCGGGAGTCGGACGTTCTGGTACTGGTAACAAAAGACAGTGACGCCAAACGACTGCCAGTGCGCGACTTCATCAGCCACGGTTGTCCTTGCAGATGCGACGCTTTGCAGCCATTGGACGCCTTTCTCCGATGCCTCAAGACCACTCTGAATCGCAAACCAAAAGTTGGAGTTGGGACCGCCATACGTAGCGATGTAGGCGTCCCAATCGATATTGCGAAAGACAGCCTCGAGGTACACGGCGCCGTTGGTAGCATACTGCTGCTGACAGCGCTCTTGCCGTCGCTCTGTGTGGGCAAGCTCGAACGCTTTGTCCAAGTCGACCCAGCAGTACTGCGTCGGGAGCCACTCAATCATGTTTAAAGACGTGTTGCGCAGACTCGTGATGGCAAACTCGAGCGATCGGAGCTTGGTCGTGAGCAGCGAATTCGCGTACGTCGGGTGCACGGTGGCCTCGAACGTGCTTTCTGCAAAGTAGCGCTTCCTCGTAAAGACAGACGCCAAGGCGAGACGCGAAGCCTCTGGCGCAGTCTCGAGAAGAGCATTGAGCGTATCCACGACAAAGGCTTGATACCCCGACGCATTGTAGCTTGGCCACAAAAGGTCGTTGGCGAGTCGCGGCTGGATGAGGACAAGGTAGTAGAGGCTTGCTGCCACCGTCGCACCAAACCAGAGCGCGCCAGCGACCAGAGACGGAAAGTGGCGCGACGAGCCGAGGTGCCCTGTTGGTACCACCCGCATACCGGTACGTCTTTCTAAACGGGTTACACGACTAAATCGGGACAGGTCGGGAACGACGTTGCAACGATAACCACTTCGAGCACATCGTTTTCACCCATCGCATTGACGAGCAATTGCGCAGGTGTTCGCGACGCTTGATGCAGACGTTGCGTGATGGTCGCTCCATGTATGGTGCAAAGCGTTTAAAGCTTTTGGGATGTTTGACGGCACATTCGACTGCTTCAAGTTCAAGCGTTCTTCTCGTCTTCGTTGAGGCGCTCCGCCTCTCAGCATTCCATCAATGTTGGTGCTCAAAAATACTATCCAGAGCCCAGATTCATGGACGGCCGTGTATTGAACACACGTTTATGCGTTAGCAGCCGCTCTACACTAGCAATCACCAAGCGGTAGTGTCATTGTGAAACGATTCTCTGTGTCTGGCGTCTCGGAGGCAAAAGAAACTTGTGGAACACGTAGCTCACCCACGTCGCCTCCCACGCGATGACGCAAGTCTCCCATATTGGTCGTCGCGGCGATACCAACTGAGCAAATTGATTGTACGGCTGCAAGAGGCTGACCGGTGCGGAGCTTAGGAGTACGATAGCCCTGCCTCCACGAAGCAAAAGCAGAGGACGCCCGAGCCACGTTGAGCCAGCAACGCAGTTAAAAACGAAAAAGTTGCAGCCTGTGACGCCATGGCGAGAGCCGACCGAGGCAACAAGGGCGGCAATGGCAAGTGCACCGAGCACACGGTCGAGTGCGCAACCATGTAGTTGAGGTACACGGCGCCGTTGGTGCCATACTGAGCGCGGCAACGCGCTTGACGCCGCTCCGTGTGGGCAATCTTGAAGGATTTGCTAGAGTCCAGCAGTATTGCGTCGGGAGCTGCAATGGTCTCGAATCGTTGGTCATGTTGCGCAGACTGGTGATGGCAAAGTCCAGTGCCGTGAGTTTGGTCGTCAGGAGTGCCATCGCGTACGTCGGGTGCACCATATCGCTCCTCAGAAGACTGTCGTAGTGTCCCTCGAACTCTACAGACTGCAAGTCGACAGTCGAGGCATCCGGTGTCGTCTCGAGCAGTGCATTCAGTAGATCGATGAGGAAGCTTTGGTACCCGGACGCATTGTAGTGCGGCCAGAGGAGGTCGTTGGCGAACGGTGGTCGCAACAAGTAGAGATAGTAGACGCTTGCGATCAGCGTCGCAACGAGCCAGAGACCGCCAAAAAGGAGCGCATGGCATCGACGTGGCCGCTTGAGAGGTGCCGTCGGCTGCACTCGCATGAGTGAAGTGGTTTCAAAGTAACGCTTGCAAGGATGCTTGGATTCGCGGTTTCTGGTGCTGCACCAGTGCTATCGGACGATCAAGTCACTTGGCTCTACGGTGTTGTTGAAGTACACACTGTGGAGGGTCGATAGAGAACTGTGGAGGGTCCATTGAAAAACTCTCGGCGTTGGCAGCCTTAGGGAGGTACCGACTGTCGGAAAAGGATGAGACACATAGTGTGTGAGCTCATGGACCGAATCCCCTTACGCACGACGGCTGGATGGACGAAGATTGCACGTATTTTTAGGAACGTGGGTCGGCGGTCTTGAATGGCCTGCGGAGCGTCCGGTATCAAAATCAGTGGTTCGTCTTTGACGTCAAGACGTGGTGTGTTCACACGCTCGAGGTCGCCAACTGCGCATCCCAAAGCTACCCCGAGGCGAAACGAGTCATGACTCGTCGTGTCGCCCACGCGCTTGCGCTTTGTAGTCACACGTGATAGCAAGACTACACTGTTTTGTTACCACAACTACCCAACAGTTTTCAATCAAGTGGAGTTTCTCGCCTGCTTTCGTGACGTCGCCTCAGAATACTGGTTGGCCTCTTCGGTAGCTACCTGTCGCGACCAAGAGGATCGCGTTGGGGCACCTGGAAATTCACGTACTTGATGGGCTCGGTGCAAATTGTGCACCAGCTCGGAAACGCCAGAGGCGCAACCGATCGGTTTCACAAAAAGGCGGCGGCATGCGTGTCCAGCCAACAAAAGGGCCTCGCGGCGACGCTCCGCGGCTCCGATGGTTCATCCCGGGGGCACTCTGGGTGTGTGCGACGCTCGCAGGTAGCATTTTCTACCTGGTTTTGCTGCAGCCCCCGCTTGGCAACGATCTCTTCTGGCCGTACTACAATGTATCAGGGTACCAAACGTTTCTCACCGATGCTCTCAACACGGTTCTCGAGACGGCGCCCGATGAGACCATCGTCGACTTGAGCTTGGTGACGCTTGAGGCGCGCTACGACGGTGTCCTGCCCAACGCTATCGTGCACCCGACGTACGCGATGGCGCTGCTAACAACCAAGCTCCGATCCCTCGACTTTGCCATCACGAGTCTGCGCAACACGTCCATCGATAGTATTCAATTGCTCCCGACGCAATACTGCTGGGTCGACTTTGACAAAGTGTTTGAGCTTGCCCACACGGTGACGCGTCAGGAGCGCTGCCGTCGTCGATATGCTGCCAACGCTGCCGTGTACCTCGAGTCTGTCTTTCGCAATATGGACTGGGACGCCTTTGCCGCCAAGTACAGCGGTCCCAACTCCAACTTTTGGTTTGCGATTCAGAGTGGTCTCGAGGCGTCATCGCGTGGCGTGCACTGGATGAAGACGATCGCGTCGGTCTCGACTTCTGTGGTGGAAGAAGTCGCGTACTGGCAGCATGCTGGCATTGAGAGTTTCCGCTACATGTGGCAAGACAACCATCTCCCGGGGCTCGTTGAGACTGCGACGCTTCGCAACGCTCTCAACATATCAACGTCTCTGACGCTCAAGAGCATCGAGCACAGCCAAGGTCCGGGGTTATCCAACTCGTTCTATGAGCCTCTCTCGATGGACATATTCATTGTCGGGATGAGCAACATGAGCCTCATTCGCGGCGCACCGAACTACTTTCTCAACACATCGTACTATGGTCTGCCGCCACAGCAATTTGAAAGCATCACCTTTGCCCCCTACATGTTTAGCGCCAACCAAGTGAGCTTGATCCATGCTGCCCTCGGGCCCCTCTTCTCAATCGACCTTCTTGTCGTGCCTCCACCGGTTGCTCTTGTCTCTCTCACGAGAGCCCTCTCGGCTGCGTTCTATAGAGACCTCGACAGCTCGTCGGCGACCACCTACGCACAACTGCAGCGCCTTTCCGTGTCGCCAACACCACCAACGTGGAAAAGTGGTCAATATGTCTTCTATGGCGGCAACGTCATGTGCAGCTACGATACATCCCAGACATTTCTTCAACCACAGTTCATGGCCACCGATTCCTGCAACGTCCAAACTCTCTGGACAGTGTCAGTAGCCCCACTTACCATGGTGTCGGCTCTATCGCTTGTCAACGATTCGGTCGAGGACATTTGCACACTTGCTGCCTCGGATGAGTGCGAGTCATCTCTGTACCAAGCGCAGACACTTGGCCTACGCGCTCTCAATCAAACGCTGGTGCGTGACGCTATCGCAGCCATCACAGTTCTTGACGTCAGCCTTGTGCAAGTTGCCTCGGATGTCAATGAAACAAACTATTCGCTGCTACGACAACCGCTGCTCGACCCGTCATCCTTTGCGTTCTTTGGTTGGGTTCTTCTTTTCGACTGGGTCGCAGGCGTTCGTGAAGTCGTCTCGTTTGAAGGCGACAACGGAACGCTGGTCTTGATCTCGGACGCCTACGATTCGACGCCGAGTACCTCTAGCAGCAGCAGCAGTCTCAGCCACGCCTCGGCCGGTGTCTACTACATTGTTGCGTACTCGAGTCTCGTGCTTGGCGCTGTCGCCGTCGCAACCCTAATCGCCTCGGCAGTGTCGCACGGCGCTGTCTCGGGCAGCAACTTTTTTGTCTTCAACCGTATCGCTGGCTCCACGTGGCTCGGGCGTCCGCTGCTTTTGCTTCGCGGCGCCAGCGCACTGGTGTTGCTCAGCTCGGCACCCATTGGGCTCGATCGCGTGCACAACATTTATGCGCATCTGGTGCTCTCGACCCGCCCGCTTCTCGAGACGTGCTTCTTGGCGTGGGAAGCGACGTGGATCGGGTACGTCGTTCACGAGTTACTCTTGCCACTGCAGAGCCACCGCGCGCGGTCGATTGGGCTTCTGGGCACATCACTCACATGGCTGGCGCTTGTGATCATTGACGTTGGCTGGCCCGTCAATGTGACAGCGACCATCGATCGCAAGTGTACCATTACCGACATCTACTACAACGTCCGATGCAACAGTGTCACGCTGCAGATGGGGCAGCTATCGCGGCTGCGAGTCATTGGACTGCTCCAGTGCGTGTTTATCCCATGCCTCTGGCTCTTGGATTGCATCACATCACGCGCAACTTTGCGGGAGACCAAGAGATACCACGCAAGTTCGATGCTGTCGGTCGTTGGACAGGCCTTTTTGGACCGACACTCGGAGCTGGATTCAGTTGGCCGACTCGCCTCTGGTCTCATTCCTCTAGGAGGATCCGCCATCTTTGACCTCAAACTCTGGCGCCTCCTCTTCGTGTCTCCGACGGCAGCGATGGTGATGCCCAAGGAGCCCGATCCGTCAATGATACGGAAACGCTGGGGGCCGCGGGTCTGGGTCGTCTTTGGCACGGTATATGTAATCACGGCGATCTACAGCAGTGTTTCGTACCTCGGACTCACCCAGCGAATCTTGACCAACGACTTGATCTGGCCCAGCTTCAACATGACGGGGTCCCACAGCTTTCTCGCCAACTATTTCAACAAGCACGTACGGGGTTCGAAAGGGTCGGTGATACCTCTTACCAACAACCAGCAGATCAACGCTCTTGGTTTGTTCAACCTATCACAAGCCTCCGTCGCCTTTCCCATCCAGCAAGGCGCCAGCGTTCAGTACTCGACCCTAACCGCTCTCTCCGATGCGATCTCGGGTCTTCGTATGTTGGATGGCTGTGACGGTCCGTGGGTCTTTACACAGTACTGCTACCTCGACTTTGATCAAAAGTGGGAAATGGCCAACTCTGTCAAGCGTCAAGAGCGATGCAAGGCGATGGTCCATAACGGGGCCGTCTTTCTGGCGTCGCTGCTTCGGAATGTCGACATTACAACCTGCTGGAGTGAGTCGTTTGAGATTGGTTTGGCGTCCGAGCTGCGAGAATCCAAGGCTGGTCAAGCTTTGCTAGCTTCGTTTCGTCCGCCGTACCTCTCGATCGACGACGAAGTGGCGGTGTGGACCCCAGAAACGTATCACGTCGTACGTGCTGCAGTGGCAAAACTACAAGTCGATCGGTCTTCTCCACTCGTACACCATTGTCAACGCCTACGGCGTCTCTTATCCCTTCACGCTCCAGTCGACCGCGGGCTACTACCGTATGGAGAGCCAGACGTCGTTCAAAATGTACTGGTCTCTCGCCAACGACCTCGGCAGTCTACTCGAGAACACTTCGACCATCGGTGGTCAGAGTCTTTTGCGCTCCAGCAGTCGATTTGCCTATCAAAATGCATCGCTCCAAGACGTACTGGTGACTGCAAAGGTGCTACCAGCGCTGCCGTGGAGTGCCAACTATGTGGTCTTGTCGTCGTACCTCGGGCCGTTTGGATCGATCGACACGGTCTATATCAGCGTGCCATCGGTTCTGCAAGACGCTACAGCTGCTTTGGACACTGCGGTGGCGGGCGCGAGGAAGCTCAATACCACGTCGTACCTGGATATTCCAGTCGAGTACCTCTTAGCACCAGCGCCAAGGCAGTGGAAGAGGACCATTTACACAGTGAGTGGCTCCATCTTGTGTCCCGACCAACCGAGCACGTACCTCGAGACACTTGAGTGGATCCTTGGCGCAGACGCGTATCAAGGCAGCTGCGTTGACCCGTATGCTCCGGTGTTAACCTTTGTTCCGCCGCGCGACCACATTCTTTTTGGCGTACTACTTGCCGGTATCGATGCAGCGACCAATGTCACGTCGATTTGTCTTCTCGAAAGCCACAGCGACGGACAACACTGCGAAACCAAAATCCGTGCAGGACTGGCCTTTCTTCCCTACCTTGCAGCGCTGCCCAACTGGCGTTCGTCGCTCTACGCTGCAATCCACGCTCTCAACATTGAGTGGGTTCAGTTTGGTATGGTCAATAAGACTGCACCGATTGAGCTCTTCCACACGCCTCTTCTGAATCCATCGGACCCAAGTTTTGACTTCTTCGCATGGCTCTTCCTTTTTGATTGGGCGATTGGCAACCGAGAAGTCATCTCGTTCCAAGGTGACCTTGGTACTCTAACCGTCATGGGCAATGAGCTCACACGACTGGAGCAGGCAGTTGACAGTGCGCAGCTACCGACTGTCTTTGCTCTCTACGCACTCCAAGCCGTCCGATACGTCACCTACGTCATGATCATGCTCGCAGCGGTGACGTTTGTGTACATTCTTCTGGCTCGGGGCCACGTCGAGGGTCTCAACATGTTTGAAATGAGTCGCGTCGGCGGCATTGTCTGGGTCGGTCGACCACTAGTCGCGGTACGGAGCATCACCGCTCTCTGTCTTCTCTCGACCGCTTCTGTTGAGTTGCAATCCGACGGTGTCTTGAGCAACTTTGTCCCGACGCCTATCCCGCTCTGGACGACGTGTCTCGCGGCGAATGAAGTCACGTGGCTCGTCGGTATCGTCAACGACATTTCGCTCGTCTGGACGCAAGACCACACGATCGCCTACGCGACGATCAACAGTCTGGTCATGTGGCTCATCTCGGCGCTTCTGGCAACTCTGGCGCCGGTCCAGGCCACGATCATTGTGTCTCCAGCCTGTGCGATGGCTACGCTCGACTACCAAGTCGTGTGCGTCGCTGGAAGTGTTGTGATTGGGTCGTTGGGGCGACTGCTGACGCTGGTGGGAACCGTGCTTGTCTGCAACGGTGTCTGCTTTGGTCTGGTGCGCTGTCTATGGAAGAGTGGTCCAAAGCGACTGAGCTCGTCGATACTGCTCTGCGGTGGTGCCAAGTACCTCTTTAAGCACCACGACTGGGTTCTTGGTGACGTTTACCATCTCGACCGTGCGTCGGCGGTCTTGAATGGCCTGCTGAGCGTCCGGTATCAAAGCCAGTGGATCATCTTTGACGTCAAGACGTGGTGCGTCCATACGATCGACGTTGCGAGCGATCTTCTCGTGTACACAGGCGAAAATATTGTCCTCGTCGACCGTCGCTTTGGATTGGCCCTTCCGCTGCGAGAATGAAATGGTGTACACTTCAACTACAGTAGCAAAAACTAACTCAAAGACTTCGCATACAAATGTCCCCATCAATTGCATCACCGTATTTAAAGACGTTGTCAAGTTTCCACACTAAACGATCGTGTTCCCGCATGTACGCTCGGCAATGCTGCTCTGCGGCGGGCCAAGTCCCTCGTCCACTCACGATGGTTAAATGGACGAGGATGAGCGTCATTTGAGTGTTGGGTAGCACGACGCGTGGTTCGTTTGTGAACTCGATCCGTGTCCAAGCCACGACGCTGGTTCGAGAGAAGAAGAAGATGGCGTCTACCCATGGCCTGTCCCGCCGTCGACAGAGACAAGAGTGGCATGATGTACCATTGACAGCGACGCCAGCTAGCGACGCCCACATACGCTGGAACCAACTACGCGGCCGTCGCCTGTATACACGTGGTCGTGACGAGGAGTGGCCGCATGACGCGTCTGGTAGCCGTTCGCCGTCATCCCGCTGCTGCATCAACACGAGTACCATGGAGGGAGCTGCAAGTGGAGTAGCCGCACCTTACTCACCTCGCACCCACCGCATCGTAGTAGTATTGCGCAACCAGAAACGATCAGGTTAACCTGGCATAAATTAAGACGGCTTCTTGGGTTCAACACCGCCCGTCGAGGCTACTACTGCGACTCAGACGCACGTCGTTGGCGTCGGTCGCGGCGCTCTTGAAATGCGCAAAGCAAAAGCCCTTGTTGCGCGCGTTCTTTCGACACGTGGCGATGCTGCACTTTTTGCCACCGCCGTGCTTGATGCAGCGGCCGCCCGTGACCGCGCCTTTCACACACCCGGGCATCGAACACCGGTGGCCGCCGCCGTGCGCAACGCAGTAGTTGCCGCTCACGGCGCTGCGACTGCACTGGTCGTGCT